ACAGTACTTGTCGTTTATATGCGTTGCAACGGGTAAACAAATGAAAGGCATTTATGTTGTGGTGACAATAAGAATAAAAAACTTATCAAATATTGCCATTACTACTTTACTGTTACTTTGTAATCGAAATGTGCACATTGTTCTTTCGTTGTTTGATTTGTTGTGTTTCATTGTTTTATTAGTGTTTCAATTTAATGCATACATCACGGAAAAAAGCTGCCAAAGTAATCCCTTTAATCGAAAATGGAATTAAACCAAAATTAAACAGAGAGCTCGGCAACTGCATATGACTCGCGGAGCGGTTCGAAGAGTGTGTGAACGATATGAGGAGACTCCGTCCTTTCGTAAGCGACCTGGAACTGGTAGAAAGAGATATACAGCGGATCGTGATGTGTCATTATTGTGTCAACAATATTAAGAAATCGGCATCTTAAGGCTATTCAGGGGCAATAACAGCTCCGTGAAACACGAGGAGTAACTGTTAGTCAGTGGACAGTACGACGAAGATTGAAGGAAAGTAACATGACCTCCAAAACACCCGCAATTGGTCCAACACTTACCCCAGCTCATCGTCAAACACGCCGGCCTTTTGCACGGAACATCCGAATTGGATACTAGAACAACAGGAATGTGTTTTATTCTCAGATGAGACCAGGATATGCCTCTATGGTAGCGACCGAAGAAGAAAAGTGTACCAGAGGCCAGGTAAGCGATTCGCAGAATGCTGCATTGAGGAGCGGATTGCTTATGGAGGTGGTTTCTGCATGATCAGGGGTACAATTTCTATGACTGCGCGAACCGACCCAGTTTTCATCCGTTGGAACGACCGTCGGCACGGAAGAAGAGGTTTAACTGGTGCTAGGTATATTGAGGAGATTTTAGCAGTTCATGTGGTATCTTACGTCGACTACATTGGAAACGAATTCACTTTTATGCATAACAATGCGAAGGCACAACTAACCTAACCTAATCTAGAATCGTACATTTCAGACATTTCAGAAGTCGGTTTTCGTGTTATGGAATGGCCAGCATGCAATCCAGACTTAAACACGATAGAACATTTATGGGATGAGCTAAAACGAAGAATTCGTGCTAAAGGAAGAGCTCCAACTTCTATCCCAGAACTCATTGTTGCAGTAGAAGAAGAGTGGCTTAACATCCCGCAAAAAACAATATCAAACTTGATTGAATCTATGCCAAATTGTATGAGAGATGTTGTAAGAGCAAGAGGGGATCATACCCATTATTGAAAATTTATTTTAGTTAATTGTCAATAAATAAATAAATTAAATAATGACATACATCTTAGTAATAAAAAACGATAATTTGTTTCATGCATTAATTTAATAATTTTAGTCCGAAGAAACCGAAATACAAATTAATATCTCTAAACTCTTTTCAAAGAATATGAAATTGTCTTTCAAATAGTATATATTTTTTCTTAATCTGACAAATCTATTCTAAAAAATTAATAGTTAACTTCAAAACTTTGCCTTGGGCTGATTTCTATGCACGTAAGTGTATAATAATAGAATTATTAATTTTTAAATAGCTCTGTTACTTAAGAAACCAGAAGGTTTAGGTATAGAAGCATGATATATCGTTGAAAGGCAATTTTATTAGTCTTGATTTTTTGAATAATTTTCATAGAGTTGAATTTAAATTAACAAAGATTTGAGTAATTTTATAATAAATGGAAATAAATAATATTTTTGCTCTCTCCCTCTCTCTCTGTAATATCCAATTGGTTTATTTAGACAGATCCAGACCCAAATTTGAACTTTAACCAAACCAAACCAAACCAACGCTTATTCACGATCATGTTTTTGTTAATTTTACACGTTTTAATTTTTTTCTTAAAAACTATAGAGATATATAGGTATAGGTTAGTATAATAGAAAAATTATGAGATATGAAAGTAGTTTCCAAAAATGTAATGATATACTGGGTGTTCCATTTAAAATAAGAAAGATGCTTTTCGAATGGTGCGGCAACACTAACGCTGAAAATATTTTAGGAAGATGGAGCAGGTGCCTTTATGTAAAAATAAAAATCCAAATTTTCAAAAAAATTCTATCACCGGTTCTCCATAAACGTCTAACGTGCGATCGCTGTGAATCACCCTATATATGCTTGCCAGGGACGTTAACATAACAATGACCTAAAAACAGTGTAAAACAAAGCGGAAAGTCTCCCAATAAAAATTAATTAAATTAAAAGGGCCGAGAATGAAATTAAACGTAAACTAAATTGCGGGCGAGGTAAAGAAAGACCACAGCTGTTCGTATGTGTAGCTAATGCAGACCACAATAGGAATTAAAAAAAGTTATCGAAATGGACCACATCCGGCCGGGTCTGCGTTCTGCTGATTAGCTCTTGCTGGCAAATTCCATGTTTTTGCAGAATTCGGAGCCATTTTCAAAGAAATTAATTTTATTTTCTAAAAAACTGTCCTTTCTATCATATCTTTTTGTGATTTTAATTTACTTTTATTGTTTTTCTATTTGTATGTCCCGGGTGCGTCTTAAAAGTACCCCTATAACTTTTTTATTTTTTCAGATTAAAAAACCACATTTGGTATGTTGGTATATGATATAAATTAGGATTTATTGACGTATTAAATTGTTTTGGTCACTTCCTGTTTCACCGGAAATGACTCCAACTTTTGATTTTTAAATGGCACCCTCGGTATATTTCTACTTTCGATAGATAATGACACTTTAAATAGATTGACATATCATATGTCAACTTTTGACATCTTCGCTTAAAAAATAATTGTATTTTAGATTTCAGTCTAGACTGCCATGGTGTTTTTCATGTCTTGTCCTAGCCGGTTAAAAGATGCCCAAATCGTATTTTTAATCATATCTCAATTTTTTCAAATGGAACTCAAGGGTGGCTCATTAGCATATTTGGAAAAAGCATTTTTTACGTATAATTTGATACCACACACTTGGTATTTCGAGTCAAATTGTCGTATGAACCGCATCTTACAATTTCAGATAAACCATATGCGAAAAATGATATGTCATTCTATTCAGAGCGTCATTTTTCTATTGAATAAAGTAGACATATACCGGAGGTGCCATTTAAAAATCATAAGTTGTAGTCATTTCCCTGCGAAACAGGAAGTGACCAAAATGAGTACGTCAATCAATCCTAATTTATGTTATGAAAAAAATAAAAAAGTTATAGGAGTGAGTCACTTTTGAGACGCACCCGGTATATTATTTATTTCAGTCTAGGCTTTGAAGGGAAATAAAGTTAAAGGAAATATTTTTTTTAAAGATTAATTGTAATGATAGATGAAAATAATTGCGACTTTATAATTTTGCCTCTACAAAATGGCAAGCTCAATTAATTTTCAATCCGATGATGTTTCAGATTTCTTAATTTAAATACGGGCCTGGACTTTTTTATTTCACTATTCATCCTTCTTAACACACTTTTTTAACTACACAATACAGAGTGTCCCAATATTCCGTGGACATAGAACTACTATGTAGTTTTGGTCCTTCATGTACATTTTCTTGATTTTTGTGAAAGTCAAATGTTAAAGCGCTTAGCAAAATATAGACACCCAAAATTGTTGAAATGTAGCCCAAAATATTGTATACGCCACTGTGTTGGATAGTATTTATCGGTGACCCTCAACCCTTGTCTTCTAAGGGAAAGTTGGACCATATGTTTTTTATTGTTTCTTTAATGGTTTTTTAGTTGTAAGATGTTTTTGAAAGTAAAGTTAGTCTGTGTTGAGAATCCAACGAATGAGTTTTATTTCGCGACGGCCCCTTTTTTAACTTATCATTCAAATCGGAATAACGGTTCTTAAAAAAACTTTTGTATAGAGGTATATTATTCTGTTCAATGAACCGAGCAATGAACTTATTTTTATTCCAAAAATAAGTAGTTGTTCTATGTCCACTGAATATTAGGACACCCTGTATATTGCAATGTAAACGTCATAACATACCATTTGATTTCTTATAGGAAATCAGCATTATTTTGGGAATTTTGAAACAACGCATTCTAGGGACCACTAATAATAATATTAATTTTTTCTAAGTATTTGTATTTTTATTCCGGGTTCGGTCTTAAAACTGGCTCACCGCTATAACTTTTTTATTTTTTCAGTTAAAAAAACGAGATTTGGTATGTTAGTATATGATATAAATTAGGATTGATTGACGTATTCAATTATTTTCGGTCACTTCCTGTTTCACCGGAAATGACTACAACTTTAGATTTATAAATGCCACCCTTGGTATTTTTTTACTTTATTCGAAAGAAAATAACACTCTGAATAGAATGACATATCATATTATGTCAACTTTTGACATTTTCGGATATGGTTTATTTGAAATTATAACTTGCGGTTCGTAACGAAAATTTGACTCGAAGTACCAAGGGTGTGATATCAAATTATTCGTAAAAAAAACTTTTTCCAAATATTCTAACTGGCCAGGACAAGACACTATAACCATTAGACGATCAAATCTATTTTTCCAAGGCTCCTTGTAAGAAAGCCATGAATTTTAAAATACAATTTTGTATTAAGCGAGATTGTCAAAAGTTGACATATGATATGTCATTCTATTCAGAATGTAATTTTTTATCGAATAAAGTAATAAATACCAAGGGTGACATTTAAAAATCAAAAGTTGTAGTAATTTCCGGTGAAATATGAAGTGACCAAAAACAGTTGAATACGTCAATCAGTCCCAATCAGTCATATACTAACATACGAAATCTCGTTTTTTATCTGAAAAAAATAAAAAAGTTATTAAGAGTTATCCACTTTTGAGACACATCCGTAATATGTATTGATAATTTTCTTCTTTTTTGATGTATATTATTATGTAGTATGTATTTAGTTCATGCCCATTTGCCCATATTATGTGAAATTTGTTTATTTACGGAAAATAAAAGGTCATCAATCTATTAAAATCTTAGTAAAAATGTTATATACAATGAATAATTTCCTTAACAAGACATTTTAGACATACACTGGATCGATATTAGTAGCTGTTAATCCCTACAAAGATATTGACATCTATTCACCGGTGAGTACAAATTTTATATTGCATTTAATTACTAACAAATATGTAAGTCGTTTTTTTCTTTAAATAACATTAGGTAATTAATTTTTAGTTAGTATTTGTTATTTCTTTGGTACGTATCTTTATAATTTTAATTCCCTTTATTAATTTTTAGTTGTAATTGGTGTTTAATCTGTTTTCTGCCATCGTTTTTAAATAAATTTTCGGTATAATATGGTGGTTATATCTTTATAGCTTTTTAATTTATTTATGTTCTCATGGTCAATCGGAAACGCAGCGATACGTGTATCATCACAATTAATTTAAATAACGCAAAGTGCGTAATGTGTCCATTTATATGTAGTTCCATGCCGTCATTTCGTTTCCTTTCTTTAGGGTCGAGTTCTTCGACGATTTTGTTAGATAACTACCCATTAGATAAAACTCGGATTATTAAATATTTTTGTCCTGTTTACACAATGGAGGGGATCATTATGTAATGGTATTTTTTCAAAGAAAGACATACACAGTGTGATAGCGTTTCGTGGCATAAAACCTCTCCGAGATGTAGCTGGCGTTGCTGTCAGCACAGAATATCTAGCTACGCAACAGAAGCCTCGTTACATGTATAAAATTGTAGGTAGCAAAAGGAGACAGGCTTTAAAAGTCTGTCTCCAAATCAGATATTTTGATGTGGTAGTTTCGCTACTACATAATAGAGGGCAATAAATTTAAAAGAAAACAGTTTTTTACAAACAAAATTTAAAAGAATTTTGTGCAGTGTTGCCATTGTGTAATTCATATCGTAATACTTCCTGATAAAGCCTACCTTCAAATTTGCCACATCATTTAAACATATTAAAATAGATCAGAGCTGTTTTTTTCAGTTTGCCATGTTAGTTGGAATTAAATCTTATGAGCTAAATTACAATCACTTCTTGGCGTTTGATTGTATAATTGAATCCTGAATTTTCATTGTAATTCGGCGACAATATAATAAGTATTGTTCTACTATTATGATACCACTTCCTGACGTTCGATTGTGTTCATACCAAGTTCATATTGTATAATCGGGAAAAAACGGCGTTAGCGATAGCTATGAAATGAATATCACTGTCATTTTATATGTAAATTTATATGGGAAATGTCATCGATCGTCCTTTTCCAGCCAACTGGACGCCGTTTTTTCAGAAGCATATCAAGTGATACCATAATATAGTACTATATTACGATACATGGCGTTCGATTGGGCTTAAACTTGGTATACTATATCTTCAGTGACATTGTAATATCATGGTACCATGGAGCATATAAAGTGGTACCTTCCATAGTACCATATTTGATGACATAGCAATATTAGGTACATGGCGGCAATAGGGCTTAAACTTGGTATACTACGTATTTTCGGTGACATTGTAATATGATGGTACTATGATGCATATCATCTGGTACCATAATATAGTACCATATTATTGACATGGCGTTCGATTGGGCTTAAATTTGGGATACTACGTATCTTCGGTGATATTGTAATATTATGGTACCATGGAGCATAATAAGAGGTACCATAATATAGTACCATATTACGATACCATTTCCTGGCGTTCGATTGGACTTAAATTTGTTATACTACGTATCTTCGGTTACATTGTAATATGATGGTACTATGATGCAAATAAAGTGGTACCTTAATATAGTACCATATTTCAATACCATTTCCTGGCGTTCGATTGAGCTCATATTTGATATATACTTGCGTATTTTTGATGACATTGCATTATTATGGTACCATGAAGCATATCAACTGGTACCATAATATAGTACTATATTACGTACATGGCGTTCGATTGGGCTTAAACTTGGGATACTACGTATTTTCGGCGACATTGTAATATGATGGTACTATGATGCATATAAAGTGGTACCTTAATATAGTACCATATTACGATACCATTTCCTGGCGTTCGATTGGGCTCAAACTTGGTATACTACGTATCTTCGGTTACATTGTAATATGATTGAACTATGATGTATATAAAGTGTTACCTTAATATAGTACCATATTACGATACCATTTCATGGCGTTCGATTGTTCTTAAATTTGGTATACTACGGATCTTCGGTGACATTGCAATATTATGGTACCTTAAAGTATATCGAGTGGTACCATAATATAGTACACTATTATGATATCATTTCCTGGAGTTCGATTGGGCCCAAATTTGGTATACTTGCGTTTATTTATAAAGATTTGTTTAATTAATAATTTTAATTTATTTTACGAATTTTAATTTATTGTTCGATGTCGTCATGTCGTGACAGCAACTTTTATGCCGAACTAATATATTATTAATTGTACCTGTGTCACTTTTTAAAATCTACCTAGGTCTATATAAATAACGTGGCAAACGGAAGAAATTTGTTATTATAGTATTTTTTAGTCACTTAATATTTTTTGTACTGCATTTTAATAAATTATTTCCCTTATTATTAAACTTATATTTCATTACTAACGTTCCAGCATTAATAAATATCACTATCAATCGCCCTGTATATTATTAATTTTAAAGGTAATTAAAGGTATTTTCTTAGTTAACATTATAAGGTAGTGTATATTAAAAATGTATATGTTTTGTAATAATATACTTAAAACTATTTTAATAGCCAAAGGAATAATTAATATAAGTGTATCTGACAAGAAAAGAAGAATAGAAAGAAACACATACTGCATTATACACAATAAAAAGAATGGGATGCCAATTCAAGTCTTTTTGAATCTGGCAACTGTGCATATTTAGCCGAGCTATAAGGCCGTCGACGAGCCGTCGATCCAAAAACCGAAAGTTCAAAATTTCTAATTATATTCTGATTATGATATTGTCGCGCCATCTATTATTCTATTTGTGCAATTTTAGCTCTTTCATTTCGAGTATTTTTCTGTTGCGTAGCTAGATATTCTGTGCTGTCAGCCTGTCCGATATTTTATTTAGCTTTGCACCGCTGCGCGCTGATAGTCGTTTACAGGGTAGCTTAGTTTAGTAACACTTAAACTGTTGCCAACTTAGCGGTTTTCCCGCTAGATCTAACGGTCTATTATTATTTCAATTTAGAAGGAAAATATATTATTTAGCTGCTAGCGGGATTTTTAGCTGTTTATATTTTTGAATAAAATATAAGTAAAATAATTGACAAAAAATTATTATTTCAATTCTAAAAAACTGTTTTTTTTTTAAATTCGCCTGAATAGTCGCGTAAAAATTATATATTCTTATAGTGCCTAGACCTAGGCCTAGAATCTTCGAAGTCGCGTTAAATTCGTCTCATCAGGTGATGAAAGCTTTAATAAAAGGTTCAAAAAGAGGCGAAAAAGCTAAATTTCAGATTCAATATCGCCCATAGATATCGCCCTTAGCGGATTCTAGCGGTTTTTTATACGAATCTAGCGGGTATCCATCTTCCAGAGTTGGCAACCCTGGCTTTCAGTGGACAGAGTGGTTGCCGGAGACAGTGTTGCCAGAACTACTGATTAATACGGATTTTGGATACAATACGTACAGTTAATGCGGATTTTCTATCATTAAACAATTTAATATAATATTTTATGATTAAACAAAGAATGGCGTCAGAATTGACTTGGAAATGAAGATCGCTGTTATTTCCTATGTAAAATATTATGGTAAATGTCAATAATCGTCATTTTCAAGCCAACTAAACGACTTTTTTCGATCATACGACATATTCAGTACTTATAAAAGAATTGTTATTTTTGTTGTTTATTCAGCGATTCAATACATAAACGCGGATTTTTCATTCGAAGATATTTTCGTCAAACGTATTACAGATATTACGTGTTTTAATATGGCAACACTGTCTCTTTCAGATCCACACCGTCTTCGATATGTTTTCGCTGGCCGAATTAGAGAAAATAAGTGTTTTATGCGTTGACCGCAGAACGATTGTTGTCTCCACCGTACAGCACTTGAGCTTGATACGTAAGGGGAAATCAAATCAGCCTTGGGTGGAAATGAAAATTTTGCGAGTTGCGAGAGTCTTGCAGCAACACCAAGACCAAGACTACTTATTAACTGCATGACTTCCTTGGTCTTGGTCTTGGTCTTTGTCTTACATTTGCTCATCACTAACTAGTCGCCACTTTAGAATTATTTTTGAGAAACTTTTAATAAAAAAAGCATTAGAAATTATATTAACTTCGCATATATACCGGGTGAGTCTTAAATAAGTGCAAATATTTTCGGGGCTGGTAGATCTCGAAAAAAGAATCATATTTTCTCTTTGTCATTTTTTGAATAAGCCCAAAATAGAAAGACGAGTTATTGAAATTTGAAGATTTAAAAAAAAATATTTATTTTAAAAAATTCTCACCCAAAAGGCTGACCCTGTACTACATAACTATGATTATTAACACTGAGTTAAAAAACTCTTTGGATGGAAAATCATGCCTTTAAACTGATGTGCTTTAGTCCTGTATTTTCTTAGAAAAACCGGAACGGATTTACTGTATTTGTTGTGTCTTTATTACAAACAAACAATGGTCGCGAGTGTAAATATTAAATACTAAAGCAGAATATCAATAAGATTTTATTTTAAATCTGTTGGTAGTACGTGATCACTTTATATGTTTTATCGGTCACCAATATTAATTAGAATATGCAGATGTTTAATTAACGGTACTAATAAAAGGTCTTTTATTTAAGTTTGTTTTAAATAATCAATTTTAATCGGTGTAAAAGATATACCACTAACCAATATACCTATGTACGTTGATTTGTTTTGATCCAATATGAAACAAAATAAAATCAGGCCGTTTATTTATTGTTTTATTTGACCACAGGCTTAATATAGTCGTTGATTGAAAGAATTGGGAAGATACATAACCTAATGGGCGAATGCGTGACAAGTGACAAGGCTGATTTGATTTTCACCTACCTCTCAAGTGCTGTACGGTGGAGACACCATTCGTTCTGCGGTCAACGCATAAAACTAGTGATGGGAATAATCGAATT